AATAACTTTGCATTGCCTGGGGAAGTAGCAGGTACTTTTGAGCTAGAATTTCAAGAAAATGATGGCAATCCGCAATGTTCAATAGATAACGTTGAGAATGAGGAGAATATGCCACCACCACCAAAGCGTTCTCGACTAGATCCAACTTCCACGGCTCCATCTTTGAAATGGACTAAACGCGTACCGAAATTCGAAAAATTGCCTGTTGATACTTCAGCAGTGGCATATAAAAAGTTGCACTCAAAAATAGGTGAGTGATAAATATTAAAATATAAAATACTTATTTTCTTTTCTTTTCTTAACATTATTAATTCAGGCGAGTTTTCCCCAGCTGAACTATGGAAATGCTTTGTAGATGATGAAGTGCTGAAGCTTATTACCGATCATGCTAATCAATATGCACATGAACGTAACGCTGTCAATTTCATTGTAACGGCAGAGGAAATGCAAACATTTATTGGCATATTGTATATCACTGGGTACAATCGTTTGCCCAACATGAACGCTTATTGGGCAACTCGGAAATCTGTTGGAAATATGTGTATCAAAGATGCCATGAGCCGCACAAGATTCAAACTAGTAAAATCATTTATTCATGTATGCGATAACATAAATCTGGATAAGGCTGACAAGTTTGCAAAAATATCACTCTTGAACAAAATTTTGAACGATCGATTCATGCAGTTTGGTGTCTTTACGCATAACTTATCCATCGATGAGCAGATGATTTCCTATTACGGCACGCACTCATGCAAAATGTTTATGAAAGGGAAACCAATAAGGTTCGGATATAAACATTGGGTACTCGCTTCTGCAGAGGGGTTTTGTTTCCAGTATATTCCATATGGAGAAGCAACGGCCAGTAAAAACGAAAATATGGGTCTTGGGGAAAAAGTAGTTTTGGAACTGATGTCACATGTTATTTCTCCTGGAAATCACAATGTAACATTAGAAAATTTTTTTACCAGCTTTAAATTGATGTGTCGTTTGTCAGAGTTGGGTCACTTCGCAACCAGAACTGTACGTGAAAACCGAACATCTGGCGCCCCATTGACGTCAGTGAAGGAAATGAAGAAATAAGCTACGACTCGTGGTTCATACGAATATTGTTTTGAGCGTAATAAGGAGATTTACGT